GGCCAGGAGCCCCTAGTAGCGATGCCCTTTGCTCCTAGTAGCGATGGGACAAATTCGGACAAATAGCAGCTGAGAATCCCATGAAGCAAAGTCCCAAGGCATTCTTCGACATGCTGGCCAACACACAGGACGTCGTACCGAAGGCCACCACGTGCCCACCTGGCCGCGAAAATGCTCGCCTACTTGCAACTTATTCGATCAACCAGCTACCGAGTATTGGCTTGTTTCATTCTATTTGAGGCCTTCCCGGCCAAATCTGGCAAAGCAAAAATGTGACTGTGCACTTTGTGACATCCAAACAATCCCACTGGTAAAGTCTTCCTGATTTTCCATGTGCTCCCACTGCTTGCGCCATCGGTCAAGGTCCACGGCTCAGGACTGCGTGGCCGCCCAGTCCCTTGTGGGCTGTGACCCTGGCGGAGGTATGCGAAGCCTTGACCAAAAAACTCCTTACTAGTAACTAGTGCTAGCAAGTTGTTAGGGCGGGAAACTGGACAACAGCTACGAGGGCTCTGATGCTTTTAGACACATACATTCCAGCAAAGACCCGCAAATAGTTAGGCAGAATCCAACGACGCAAAAAAGCAAAGTTCTGTAGCTGTTGACATGAGCACACGTGACACCTCGTGCCCTGCGCTTGACATCGCCCCAAGCCTCGCCGGGATTGGAGATCTGCCGTGGGAGTTGAGAGACAAGACGTATCTGAACCCAGGTCTCGCCCTTTCAAGGACTACTAAAGAAAGCACTCTTGTCACCGCATAAGAAAGAATGAGAGAAAAATAAAATAAGGGAAGAAAGAGCCTAAGGCTCCAAAGTAAAGAGATGAGAAAGTTAAAGGAAGAAAAGTCCTGAACACAACAAAAAACCACAATGACAAGGTCGACAAAAAGAACCAATAGCATGACACAACCAAAAATCGACGCGAGGGAACACATCTTGTCTTGGTCCCTTGGAGTCCTTGGGGATTTGAGGCGGTCTGGGATGACTGACCCCGACCCTCAAAGTTCCAGAACAGGCGACCTTCTTCCAGCGACACCTATTCGAACAAAGCAACACAAACAACAGGTTCTTCCACTCATGTGGAGCTTTTATGTTTTTTATTCTTGTTCTTGGCATTTTGAACCGGCCAGCTTTGTCTTTCTGGTAGTTTCTGTGAAATGACTGTCAGAAGCTTTCACTAATCATGAACAAGGCTATTTTTCGAATGAATTGTGCCCTTCACTCAACTTCACTGGTTGACAACCTGCTCACCATATCTGGAGACACGCAGTTCTATCGAAGCCGCTGCTAAAGGGAAGGCAAAAGCCTCTCTTCCTTTGGCAAAGGTGAGCCAAAACCTCCTGGTGAATCAGCAGGAAGATTCTTTTTTCTTTTTTGGAGCACTTCCTGTACAGTATGCGTCCGCACGAGCATCCCATGGCAAGCAAAGTGCGGTAGCTCACCAAATTCGTTTCCCATGATGTAGGTCCGGTAGTACCTTGGTCGTTCAAGATTCTGAGCCAAACATAGACCTGTACATGGGGGATACCAACCCAAGCCCAGCAAGCAACTGCAAAGTGGGTTACGGTAGCTATGACAAAGCTTTGACAAACAACTGAAACAGGTGTCTTGAATCATTGAAGTGAGCTGAACAAAACATTGTAACCAAACATGCCTGGAGAAGAAGGTATTTGGTGTGAACACCATTTGCTTTGGTTTGTAATGGTGTCAGAACGCCAAAAAAGCCTATCACCATGAAAGAAGTCTTCCCAAGTGGCAGTTCCAAATCTTCAGCGCTCCGCCGTTTCAGCAGCTCTCGGTGGGCCAAATGAGCACGCATGGAGCGGATACCCTTCCGCTCCACTGAGAAGCCTCCATCCTGGAGAGCAAGAGCGAACAAATGCTCAAGTGAATGTCCTAAAAGCAATCTAGCACGGGAATTGTGCCAGAAACACAACCATGATGGCTGGATATTGTTGTTATCTTGCTCTCCCGGCCTCTGTTTGATGGCCATCAGCGAGGATCTTGTACTTCCGAAGCCAGGATTGATAGCCTCAACGCTTAGGATGGAAAACCTTAAAACACGTAAAGCCCGAGTTGTCGAAGTCTACAGTAAGGGACATTGCGAGAATCAGCAAATCAATTTGAGCTGCCTTCTCTAGAAGCAGTTAGCAGCTGTTGGCACTAAGCTGCCACAGTTGGCATAGTGGAGAATGACGGGCGCACCCTCGTCGCTGCAGCGCAAACTCTTGAGCCTGGCAGAGTTTCAGGAGGTGTCTTCCAATCCGGGGCAGAATCAAAGCAAGCAAAATGAACACAGAAAAAGAAACAAACACATCTTTGTGTTTTTGACCTGTTGACATGTTAGATTTAAGAATGACTATGTCTATGTTCATGTGGTGGAAACATGTTTGCGGGAAGTAGCCTGGTGAAATCAAACTGAAGGGAGGAAAGCTCATGTGAGCTGAGATGTCTTGATTTTGGGGATGCTGATCTGAAAATATATTGTGCCCGGACGTCATTCTCCCTTATGTGGCCACACACATTGGACTACTAAACTCTAGTACAACTAAAACGAGAAAAGGATGCGTAATCCGCTTTTTCTCTGTTTTCTTATGTCAACCACCTAGAACGGGTCAGTTCTCTGCCGGATCTGTCCTGGCATTGGACTCCGACGCGAAGCGATGCACACCGATGGGCAAGGGCCGCGGCGACCGCACCCGGCACGCCGCCTGACAAGCATCTGGTGTTCTCGAAGACGTGAAGCTTTGTCTTCCAATCATGTTCTGACCAAATTGTCAAGTCTGTTAAGTCCTACCCTCCGTTATTACTTGAAGAAGCAAATTGAAAGAGAAAGAAAGACACAAGCGATGAAATTGAAAGGAGTAGCATGAGGACATGTAGTGAATTCAAAGAGGGGTGATGCCGTGAGGCCGCCGAGCGGTCTCATCTCGGCTGTAGAAGGAACAAACAGCTCCTTTCCGTTGCGCATATTACAGGCCAACATCTTCAGGCTGTTTTCAAGGTGGGTAGTCACCGGAGGATCAAAAAGCAAGTGGACACCTGTTTGACAAATCTTTTGATAAAGAAAATCGAAGAAATCCTTAGGACAACTTATATAGTTATGAACATGGTAAATCTTTTAAGTCTGTGGATTTTTTTCAAACGCGGTTCGTGCAACCGGCGAGGTCATCAACCTTTTGCCTTTGGGGGAGGCATCGTTCAAAGAATTCAACATGTCGAAGCCTGACCTTGCCATTGCCATAAGCGGTGAAAAAGCACGGAAGATCTTCATGTCGCTGTTGGCGCTTCTCTGATGGCTCCTGAAGTCCCCACAATGGCATCATGGGGGTCATCGGGGTCTAATCTTTCGAACTTCAAGACCTGATCAAGACCTGAAAACAAAAGCTCGCGCTCTTCTTCCAAAATCTTTTTCCTAATGCCTAACGGGCCTAACGCCTTTTTGTGGTATTCATTTTTGGCAAGGATGAAGTTCAAGGGTCAAGATCTAAGGTAGCAATTCAAAGCATTCTTTGTTCTCAGGGTCCTCATCGGAGTCAATGGGCTCTTGATCCTCTAAATCCAAGGGTGGCAAATCCAGTTTCAGCTGCTGGACCACTTTCCGTCTGGCCAACCTCAGGGTGAAACCAAACAGAAAAGGCAACCGCCATCGAGGGGTGAAAATAGGTTGCAGTAGTCCCCGGCCGTACTGGCCAACCAGGTGTGACCATGAGAAGGATGCCAATCAAAGTCTACCCAAAGCAAAAAGCAGAACGCACAGGAAACAAATTTCAACCCCGTTTTGTAGGTCCAAAGAGACCCAAAAATGGTACCCACATGTCACATGTCTCCCTCCGTCTGTTTCCGCCCCGCACCTCACTGGAAGCAAGGCCATATCGAAGCTCCGGTTGGTCTTCACATCTTCAGGATCGGTGCCTTTGGCCAATTGTCGCTGTCGCCATTTCTCGAGCTTCTCCAAGTAGCGCTCCCCGGGTTTGTGGAGCTTCTCGCTTTTGGACTCGCTCCTCGATCAAGGGACGACTAAACGGACATCTTTCGATCAAGCAGCTGCTTCTTAGAGGAGACAGCTGCTCTGCACCCTACAAAAGGCAAAAGAAACAGTCCCCACAAAAACAAAGCACTTGTGAGAAGCAAGTCTCAGTAAATTCTGATGGACTTTGAAGAGCGTGACTTCTTCAAACCAATTCGTGATCTCAAAGGACTCGGGAAGTGCTTCCAAATTGTTGAAGACGACTTGCTCAATCTCGGGAGGCAGCCTGAGATGTTGTGCGATCGAGAACGAGTCCAAAGGTTGCACACGCGATCGTCAAAAAAGGACTGCGTCTGCAACATAACTAATGTTTCCCTAAACATCTAGAAACCAAATCATTAGTGCGAGTATCCTGCGTCCTACCTAAAAGCCAACCTAGTCTAGTAGCTTAAGTAGGCACCTACTTCATTAAGTAGCCAGGGGGGGAGCGGCTAATCTGCATCTGGGCGACTCTTGAAAGAAGCTGCATGCATCTGAATGCTTCGGAAGCAGCAAGGCTTCGTCAGCATCGATGTGGAGCAGCCAGTCCTGGCTGGGCCGGTAAGTGGGCACCACCTTTCTTACGTTCACACCATTCACCTTGCCACAAAACACCTCCAAAAAGGTCAACAAAAAATCAGCAAAGCTATGGACAACAAGTTTAGAACGTCAGCCATGTCCATTTTGGTTTCATCTCAGCAGTTGAAAAGACACCTGGTCGCCCAAGTCCGGCGCCCAACGCCATGGTTTCAACGCTTCTCGACCGAGACTCAAAGCCCTCCACGTCTCGGAGCGCTGCTTCCATGGCCAGGCATTGCCGACTTTGGACGTCACCCAGCTCCCAAAGCCTCTCGTTTGTCGGGTGAGACGGGACAAAGAAAGCAGATCATCTAGAAGAATTTGAACATAAAACAAAAACCAAACACCTATTACTTTAGTCTATAGTAACAAGAAACTAGTAGAAACAAGTGCATCGCTTCTAGTAGCAAGTGCCTTACTAGTAGTAACAAGAAGCTAGTAGTTGGATCCTCTAAGGTATTAAATTAGATTACCATTCTGAAGCCAACTCTATGTGTCCGACCGAGGAGCTCCACCATTTCGGCGAAGATTCCTCCGCTCGGCCGCCGTTCCCAGAAGCGCGAGCTCTGCAGCGCTTGCTGCCACCAGGTCTCGGTGCAGCGCCGCACCTGGACTCCAAGACCTGGCCGTTCCGTGGTTCGAGGTCCCGATTTGGAAGGAAGCACCACCAGTAGTTTTGAGGGATTACTCAGAAGCTTCAAAGACATACTAGAAGCTTCTGGTTACTACAGGTGAAACGATTCCCGGCCTCCACCTAATAGCGTCCTTGCTACTTCAAATGGGGTGGAACTTCGTTTGGACATACAACGTCTTAAACAAAATCCGAAGTCTGGCCATAGATGCCAAGCCAAGCCATTTCAGGATACCTCATGATGAAATTAATGTTAAGAGTTTCGGTCAAGACGGAGCACCTGAGAGGCCTTCGGCCACCTCAATGGCTTCGAGTTCGGATGGGTCATCTGGCGCATCGAAGAAGAGGAGCACCCGTTGGAAACCAATACGAAGATGATAAAGCCTCAGGTGACCCCAAATGACCCAAGTCATCCAGCAAGACGTCGAAACAAACCTGGGACCACTAGCTGGAGGACAACATGGAGATCGACTTCTCACCCCCCTTTTTGTGCCATTCTTCACGCTATGTTTCCGAATCATGATTTGTCTGCGAATGACCCCCGTGCCAGAAGGCCGTTGGCCTCAGATTAATTCCATGGCGCCTTGCTAAGTGCAACTTACTAGCAGAATGCACAGCAAAACAGTTTGCAACTTGGACCAGTCCAACTTTCACCGTACCAGGCCGAGCACGGCTTTCATGTGAGCTTCACCGACACACCAAGCTACGCAAAGCTCTTCACCACGGAGGCTCCAACTCCGCGCAGCAGGCAAGCCACTGCCAGCTGTGGCGAACGCGCCGTGGGCTTGGGACCTTCCAGGTCGTGAGATCTCGAGCTTAGGGCCAAGAAAGCTTTGTGGATCGTTCTTGCCAAGAAAGAAAGGTCTATATTTTTAGGTCTACGGAAAACATGCGAAAAGGACCTTAAGAGTGATTCCGGCCAGTTTTTGTCTTATGCGAGCTTGGGAAACACAGACTAAACAAGAAGCTTGGTTTGCCCACCCGGCGGTTGAAGCAAATTCAACCCTGATGAATGGAGCAACCCACATCAACATGATTGAGTCCCGCAACGCGCCACCCAAAGCCTGACTCGCTGGAAGGAGCCCACGTCAAGCTTGGAGTGTGCCAGAAACTTAACCAAATGTCCTCCAGTTTCTTTCCATCCATCGGCCGCAGTTCGCCCTCCTGAACAAGCAATACGGCTTTCAGAATCAGCTCCCACCAGCTTGCTGAAGGAAGCTGGTGCAACTCCAAGCCTGCACATCTCATGAAGTGATGAACATTCAAGCATCTTGAGAAACCGTCAGTGACCAACGCAGAACCTTTGCACATCTTTGCACTCACATCTCGGCCAATCTCCTGTGTGAACGGAACACCCAAGGCCGCTGCTCGCCGTAGCGCCGGTGTGAATGGCCACAGTTCCTGATCGACAAGAAGCCAAGAAAACCTTTCAGACTTTCAGGTGGATGGGGTTAAAGCACTTTTTTTTTCTCCTCGGAGAGCACACTGATGATTCAATTCAGTCCTTTCTTAGAAGGCCCACGATCCAATGTGCCGATATGTGCAGCAAACATGTCCACGATTCAATCCAGTGATCATGAACATCACGCGCTGCATTGTCCATGTGATGATGTGCAAACAACCGACGACTAGCAACCAGTAGATCGAAAGCAGCTCGGCCTCATCATTCTTCTCCAACTTTTCGACCAGCTTCCCGAGGCCTCATTTCGGAAGGCAAGTTTGGAAAGGTCAATGCAGCCATGAGCCAACACCAAGGGCATACAGTTTTGTGAAAGAGAAGCTATAAAATATAAAATGCCTTTCGAACGTTCCTGTATTGTGGTCCAAGCACTTGCCTTTGAGATCTTTGGGGCAAATCAATGTGAATGGGTCACCTACACAGCACCTCGAGCTGATTCGAGCTGCCCAGGGCTTTTCCATCCAGCAGCACGAAGCCAGCCGCGATGGACCGAGCCCAAGCCTCGTCTGCGGCCAAGCGCAGCCAGCCATCGACTTCTTCCGCCACCTCGGTGGACGGCGGCTGAGAAGGTTTTTGAAAGGATTTGGTGCGTGAGGTAAGCTTCTTGTTACTACTAGTAAGGCACTTGTTACTACTAGCGATGCACTTGAATGAAGTGAGGATGATGATCATGGATTCTGAGTGGTGAGAGATGCATGATTGCTGCATGATGTGTGCGTGATGTAAATACACCACTTCACAGCCATTTCCAACCTACCAACCTACCATTTCCAACCTGATTGTCTCCCACGGTCTTAAGCCTCTCTTGAAGAGTTTGTTTTTGGGTCTGCCCTTTGGTTCTCACCCAAGGCACTCGAAACACTTCGCCCGCGGACAGAACATGGACGATCTCTGCTGAAGTCGATGGCTTCGCTCGGATGGCGACCCGCGGGTGGTGCACCGTCCGGTAGAGAGTGCCGGGGACCGGCACAGCCACGCACATCAGGCCATGGCACTTGATTGGTGAATCGGCACGCAAGCGGACAAGGAGCGATCGGACGCTACGAACGGGGCTCCTGGCCGTACTACTAGGAACAAGAAGCTACGAACGGGGCTCCTGGCATCGCTACGAACGGAGCATTCTTACTACTAGTAACAATACAGCTTACTAGGGGCTCAAGCGGACAACATCTGACAATACCTTCTTTCCCAAGGTCAGCTGGTCAGCTGTTGTGGTCAGCATCCCTTTTGCTCAAAGCTTCAAGTGGCAAGCCGTCTTGCTTGAACATGATGACATGTGCTTCTCACCCTAGTAGGGGAGCAATCCAACTGACTGTTCACAGTTTGTTCCCTTGAAAACCTTGATCTGAAAGAAACCGCGGAAGAGAAGGACCACATGCCGCCCTCGGGCCCTCTACTGCTTGTCAGGAACAGCTACTCTTCCAGCAGTGAAAAAACCTGTCCTAGCACCCTCGCCCTGAGTCCAGCCTTCGGCGTGATAGCAACGCTCATCAAGTTTACTTGCCTCGGCAAATAATTTTCCACAGTGAATTTAACGTGGAGGCGGCTACAAAGTTCGTTGGTGCCGCGTTCAGCTGCTTCTGTTGCAGATTGGTTCATGTGGACTGACATTTAGCGGTGCAACCGTGCAACCCCCATGTGGGCCACCTCAGAGCCAAACTCGAAGTGCTACCTGTCCCTTGAAGTGGTAAAGCCTTTCAAAGATCTCAGCCACTTGGGCACCTGACCTAACACAATAATACTTTCAATGACCATGGGCCCATGGGTCTTTGTTTCGTCCTTCTTTTAGACAAGAATGCTCGCCGTTTACAGTGAGAAGTCTCTCTACTCACTGCCTCTACTTGCGAAAAGGTCCTAGTAGATTCCTTTGCTAGTAGGAACAAGTGCCACGCTAGTAGTAACAAGTGCCTTACTAGTAGTAACAAAAAGCCATTAGAAGTAAACAACATAAAAAAATAAGTTAATTACAATTCTAAGTAAGTAAATTCTTATTGTTACTACTAGTAAGGCACTTGTTACTACTAGCGATGCACCTGTTACTATTTGCTTCGTCCCAGTCTTGAGGCCCCCAACCCAGCTACAGCTGACAGCGACGCCACTTGTGGAATGTCAAGCATTCGTCCAGCTAACATGCTAAAAGCCAGAACATCCGAAACCGGCATCTTTGTGTTTCTTTCTCGCATCTGCCCCACCAAACTTCAAAAGAATTCAGTGATTGGTCAAACTTAAACAGTTCTTCACTCGAGAGGCTATTAGGGCAAGCCAACCAATACCGAATATTGAGCGATTGAGTTAAGGTTTCAGCAACAAATGCACTCTTGAGCACTCACTTAAATGGCAGGGACCACCTTGCTCCGCCACACCATCCGTTCGTTTGCCTCAGCACACAAAGATGCACATTTTTGGTCTACAAGTTGCTTCACCACTTCAGCGATAGATTCCGAAATCCTCAATCTCAGTTGCCAGCGGACGGCCACAAGCTTAGGAAACACCGCGACCCCTGGCGCACAACCAAACGGAATGGCAAAACGGAATTGCGAAATACGCCAAGGTTGGAACAGGTCGGAAGGGCGAACTGCATCAAAGCGATCCTTCCAACCTAAAAGGTGCATTTCGTGAGCCGAAGATTTCTACTCCCTTGAAACTGGCTCCTTGACAACATCCAATTTCACGGAATCCAATAGCTTCAACTAACAATAAAGCAGTTGCGAGTCCATGGTGCAACAACAAAGAAGCCAAGGATAACCAAAGCCAACATGCTCTTTTTCGTCTGACGACAGTCAGCCCTTCCAACATGACAGCCCTCCGACAGGCTACTAGGAAGCTACTAGGAACAAGTGCATCGCTACTAGTAACAAGTGCCTTACTAGTAGTAACAAAAATAGTTTAATTAGAATTGTAATTACTAGCCCAAGAGGCAGGATTCGCCGCAGCCGGTCGGATGGTGTTCCCAGCGCCTCTCAGGCTGCAACGGCCAAGAAACCTCCCTGAAATCAAGAGTTTCATGATGTTTCATGATTATGTGATGTTCAAATTGTTCATCCTCCAAAAACACCCAGGATCTACAATCGTTTCTACTAGTATTTCTCGGGTCAGTTCTGTATGGCTCTCCGCCTCTCCGCCGGTGGTCCTCGCTTGGTCCGCGCCCGCAGGTGCTCCAAGGCTTTGCTCAAAGCTGCGGTGAAGCTCAAACCTGAAACCGGGATGAGGATCTGCGGACGATAGAACAAAATGAAACAAACTTGTTAAGTTTCCATAAGAATCTAGGAACCAAATCATTAGTGCAAGCGCGAGCTATCCTGCATCCAGTAGGTGGTAGCATACTAGTAGCTAGTAGCTACTTCGTTTTTACTTGCTGCTACCTCACCTCTACGGCCTACCCCCCCTTGGCTAGAAAGGAAGAGCAGCTTCTGTCCTTCGAAGAAGCTCCAAAAATTGGCCATCCCAAATCCTCTCCCGACGGATCTGCAGCGGAAGACACCCCAACGCGACAAGTCGTTGGACAACACGGGCGTCTCGATCGTGAGGCCATCCTGGGTGATTCACCATCGAGCATGGCACAACAAATTCGCCACAAGATTCATATCCCTTGCAAAAAGCGAGAGAAGAACAACCACGCCATTTTTCATCAATCCAGCGCCTTTGAAGAAGCAAAGGGTCACAGGGCTTATGCCGATAGAAAAACAACAAAGCAAAACTCATTCAAAGCAAGGCGCCACTGCGTAGTCACCTCGCTTGTGGGCAGGAACAAACGAGGAGAATGAGTGCCAAACATTCACCTCCAGAAAAGGACAACACAATAGGGCAACCAGAAAGCCCTGCAAACGAACTTGCACACTTTCCTATTGCTGTTTGATGCCTTTGACTGCAAGTGACAGACCAGGACGATGCCCAAATCTCCGTCCAACGGCAGTTCACCGCGAAGGCCACAGTGAGGCAGTTCAAAACCTCCAGGTGACTTGACGGGCAGCGGCAGGTATTGGAAGGATTCAAGGATTCATATTATTTCAGTAGTAGTGTTTTGACATGTGATACCTGATGCCTCTTCACTCTTCCTTTCATTGGGAAAGAAAACGTTTGCAGATTGAAATCGGTTTGCCACGAGCACACCGAAAAAAATGCCGCGTCTTTGGGTTGCAAACATACATCTAGAGAGGATGGGTGTGACTTGCGGTCATCTTCTGACAGCTTGGGAACTTCACCAAAGAGAGGATCTACACTCTGCAGCTCCGCACCTGGCGGCAGCGTCAACTGCCGGGAAGCAATCCTCAGTTGGCCGCTTCTCTCTCACTCCGATGCCTGGGGCACTTCAAGTCCGGGGAAACGACGTGTCGTAACAGTCCATATGCCCAGCCCAAAGAAGAGGCGTCTTTTCCCATCTTTTCCCCTTCAACTAGTTTGAAGGACCGACTCACTTGCTTCCCACCTCTGCTCCGACAGAATTCCTCGGTGCTGCCAGTCCTTCCACCCCTTGGCCCGCGAATCCGGCGCCTTGCTTTGCTCCAAAGCTGTGGTAGGAGCCGCTCCTGAGCATCAGCCACGGCGGGCGGCACGTCGGCGGCGCCCAGGACAAAGGCGTTCATGGCTGCATCCACCAGGCGCTTCTGCGCCTGAAGGAGTGAAAAAGAAGCTGAACAAACAAGGCGCTTTCGGGGGTGATTGCCCTTTGTTTCTAATGGCAAACATTTTTCCCAGTAGTAAGGCCAGGAGCCCCTAGTAACGTCCTTGCTCCTAGTAACAAATGCAATGCTTCAAGGAAGGTCAAGGTGTAGAAAAAGAGGCATGCAAGGTTGATTGGTTGCTTGTTTGGCAAGCGTTTCATTGGAGTATGGTAACCGGAAGAGCTCCTTCACTTCGGAAGAAGTCAAGTGAAGCATTTAAGTCAAAAAAGCTCACGAGGAAGGCCAACCTAACCACCCACGAAATAAGACTAGGACCGGTCGAACTTCAGGAAGTGCAAACTCCAGGCACAATGCACTGTGTCATGCCGCAGCTGTGCCGTATGTGTTGCCAAGGGCCTCTGAAGATGTACATGCGGTATACTGCGCGAAGAGGCTGGCGATGGGCACCACCCGGGTGATCTCCCCATCGATGACCATGTGCCCGGCAGCCTTGCTCCAGAATTGCACGAACAAGTCGCAGTGCCATCAAATACCCTAGTCTTGGGGTCAACATGACTCAACTGACCCTCCTACAACCACCAAGATAGTCTTTAACGGGGTTTCGGCCTTGCCAGCCCCCCCGCAGCCCCAAACTGCAATTGAAGCTTGCGCGGGTCGCCAGGTTCGGAACTAGCCGCTGTGTGTTGCCTGTCAGCATTCTCATTCCGGTGCACTTGGATTCTTTGAGCAGCCCAGCCGGTCCCATCCAACATCGCATCAAACTCAATGCAAGCCCCCCAACCAGTTTCTTAAAAAAACGAATTGTAGATGCACTTCAATTAAATATCGGGTCGGAAACAAAGGGACCATGTTGGGATCCTGTTGGGACTTGCTCGTGGACCTGCCCGGTGGGGCACCTCATCGAAATGGCAGAGTTGGCGCTCCAGGCCGTTCTCCTCGAAGGCCTCCAGCAGCAGCTCCGCGAAAGCTCCCGGCGATGCCATCGCTGTGGTCGAAGCGCAGGAGCAAGGGAGGCAGAACTGTGAGAAAGCCGTTGGCCCAGGTGGATTGATGGTTGACAGTGAGGGATGCCTAGTTAAGCTTTCTTCACGAAGTTTCATTTTTTGTGGGTGACTTCATGCCAAGTTCTTGGCATAAAGAGGCGGCAAAGTCCTTCCTAGCTGGGGAGGTTGCTTGACAAACCCCAAAATCCATTGGCAGCATGTGACATCATGGCACTTCTGCACGGTGCACATGTTTTCCATCATCCTTGAGTTTCCAAGCCATGCCAAGCAGAAAAACACCAGAGCGTCCAGAGGAAATCCCACCTGTCCTTCCACCTTCCTTTCAGGCAACTGCCTCGAGCAAAGGGCATCACTACTAGGAGCAAGGACGCTACTAGGAGCTCCTGGCGTCGCTACTAGGAGCAAGAAGCGATGCCTGGAGCCCCTAGTAGCGTCCTTGCTCCAGCTTTTCTATCCTTTTCCCCTAGATGTGATCACCCTGAAGCCTTGTCAGAGTGGTGAAACGTGATCGACTTTCCCGACTTCGCCGGGAAACACTCTCCGTCGTGCTCCCCACGGTGGTGCATCCGACAGCTAGGCGTTTTTCGAAGGAAGATCATGCAGAAGCTCACCCTCAGGCGTCAGCTTCAGGTGCTGGACAACACCTTGGGCGCAGGACATGCAATCGACATGACACACTTCGGAAGAAGACCACACTAAAGAGTCCGTCCGGACCCGCCCCTGCACAATGCATCAAGCAGAAATTTGATCTAACTCTCAACAACAATATTCAAAACAAATTAGGCATGATGGGAAGTCTGCCCCAATACAGCCCTCCTCCCACATCTGCAAACATTGCCACCCCTCCCATCGTAAGCTCAGCTTGCATCCTTTTTCATCCTTTCTCTATCTCCTTCGCCTCGAGCATCCGCCTCTTGGGAGCTCTCTCGACCGCGGACGCGGACGTGGACGACCGGCGCCAGGCGCCGGCCAGCTCCGCGCGCACGCGGCGGCTGTCGCCACCGCTGTAGGGCGATCCCCAGGTGACGACGCCCGTGGGAAGCAGCGCGGCAAAGGCACAGGCGTTCCCACGGACCTGCAAGACCTCACGTAGCAGGTGCTGCACCTGGAAGTCGAGCTGGCATTCGGAAGCAAGGCTGCTGCAAGGGGGAGATCTTCCTATAAGTTCCTTGTCCGTGCTGAACCAAACGCCCTAAGTCGACGAGCTGACTTTGATGGCAGGATTCGTCTCAGCTTTGCGTTAGTCAGTCTTCTTAACAAGTTAGGCTTCGGCTGATGATTGTGGACACTGCCGCGAGAATCCTTTACACTTGAGCCATCTCGAGTCCAATGTTTTCTTCTTCACTTCTTCCCCATTCCTCCGCATTAACTGCTCCTTGCTAAATACTCCAAGAAGTTTTTAACATGGTTTTCTAACTAGAACACCCCTACAAAAGCTCAGGTGCCCTTCGCTTTGAAGGTGCCCCTCCAACAAAAGAGCCGTAAGGCATGACCTCTACGGGTCCTTCGCATCTTTACGTTCCGAAAACGTGATCGATTCCCGGACCTTTCCTACGCGCTTCACCGGTTCCCTCCGCCTCGGAGCAGTCGCCGCCGCAGTCGGGGTCGCCCCAGCAGGTGGCGCCGCCGTCGTCCAGCAACGCGCAGAAGGCGCCCGCCGAGGCCTCGAGGCGCCAGGCGCCCGCTGCGCCGACGGGACCAGCACCGCCGCAGTCGGGGTCGCCCCAGGTGACCTGAGACACAAAGACCGGTCGCCACATCGACCGAAGAGGAGGACATGTAGGTGACATAACCAAATATGAGAGAAATCATGCAAACTGTCTGATATGGAATTGGTAAGGGAAAATAGTTGGCTGGGCTGTTGGGACATGGCTTGCAAGTTGGTCGGGTTCTGGTCAATTGAGGCGTTTCTGAACTTCTACAATCCTTTTAGGTCTTGAAAAAGCCCTTGGGCTTCGACTTGCGCAACCACCACACGTACCCCATTGTACTACAAGTTGGGAGATCGTCGTTGAACTGCATGCCCACCTGGACTACCTCTCGCTATTAGGTTGGAGGTCATTGCTATTGCGAAATTCGCTCGGCTGAGCGAGTCCACTTCTGCACCGAGCCACGATGCGCCCCTCTCCCACGATGGCGGCAAAAGCATCGCCGGCTGACTGGATCTGGCGAACGTCCTTCAGCAAGTGTTGAACCGCCTGGAGCATGGGATTCGTACAGCAACTCACTCAGGTTCCTTGTAAAGTTTCTAGCAGGAGCGGGAAGAACGCAAAAGCACTAAAAGCACATCTGCAAAACAGAACCACCCTTTTTCACTATTGTAGACCTGAGACTGCCATAGTCGTACAAATGAGTTGAGCGATGTTGAACAGGGGTAGTTGAGGTCAACCTGTCCTTCTTTGTAGTCTTTTCGCTTCCCAAGTCGTTGCAATTGCCAGTTGATGAGGTGATGACACAGAGTTGGGATCATGCGGATCTGGTCTCTCATCGACGAGTGGAACATGAGAACCTGCGCGACCCAGCTGGAACTATACGCAGTATGCATGGAGGCACAACATGTACGTTCGAACAGCACGCAGACCGGGCCCACACACGGATCCCAGGTCGCCCCCGCCTGAGAATCTCCACCACAATCGGGATGGCCCCAGGTGACCACGGAGCCATCGGATTTCAACGCGGCAAAAGCACCGCCCGAGGCTTGGACGCACAAGACCGAGTGGAGCTTTTCCTGCACGTCGTCGCTGCAGCCACCGCAGTCCGAGTGGCCCCAGGTGAAGACCTCCACACGGAGAGGCCAAAAAGGAAATACATACAAGCAAAGGGCAAACATCTGCAAACGGCTTTGGCTTCATTCCCAAAACCACCCCCCGAGGCACCTGACCATTGGCGGTGACTGCTGCAAAGGCTCGGTCAGAGGCCGCAAGGCTGATGACATTCTTCAGTTGACTGCTGACCTTACAGGACAACCAACGGCAACGAAATGTTTCAGGGGGGCGCCAGATTTTTAAAAACAAAATTGCTTAGTCACTTATTCACAAGAGGCTGGAAGCTCCTAAAAGTCTCAGGTTTCCTCCAGATCGGTCTATTTGGTTTTGGCCCGGTTTGTGCCTGGGAGTCTCCTCCAAAGTCGGGATCGCCCCAGCTAATCACTGTTCCATCGAGCATCAAAGCTGCAAAGGCACCGCCTGAGGCCTCGATTAGCAAGGGCCTCCGCCCCCCTGGGCTTTTTTAAAGACAAGAAAAAGAGAAACCTAATAATCCTAATAGCAATGGCCTCCAACCTACTAGCGTCCTTGCTCCGAGTAGCGATGCCAGGAGCCCCTAGTAGCTTCTTGTTCCTAGTAGTAAGGCCAGGAGCCCCTAGTAGCGTCCTTGCTCCTAATAGCAATGGCCTTTGCCCCTACTAGTGATGGCCTCCAACCCAAGAGCAAAAGGCCTCGATCTCTTTCACTTCGCCCTTCAGCTGCAAATGTTCAGCTCTACGGCCCCAGGTGATGATGCTTCCATCAGCCTACAAGGATCGGCAAAGATTGCTGAAAAAAAAATGCAAATTTCATTTTGATCCATAAGAGAAAAGCACCATAGAAGGCACAAAGATTAATGAAAGGTAGAATGGGAAAGAAAACGCTGAACACTACGTTCTTACAGTAAAGAATATCGAGAAGAAAGGTCTGCCAAACTCTGCTGAATGAAATCCATGATGGGAGGACCTTTAAAGCCGCAAAGGATGAAGTGGAGGACACGATCCGCTGGACGTTGGTCAGGTTCAAAGCGCTGCTGTCCCCGCCAGACTCTGGATAGCCCCACGTGATGACTCTTCCATCAATCAAAAGCGCTGCAAAGGCAAAGCAAGTTCCATACACTTCTGCCACATCTTTCAGTTCTGCTTGGACGTCTTGGCTATCAGCACCAGCATCTGGATCACCCCAGGTGACCACTGAACCATCAGCTCTCACCAGTGCGAAGGCATAGGCCGTGGATGCCAAGCTGGGCTCGGACACTGTCACCGCCACGCGGTCACCGGACTGAACCTTCTCTTCCGCCAGCGTATGGCTGACCGACAGCGGCCGGTCGCCCAGGAAGAGCCGCCGGAGGCGGACACCGAAGGCCTCCTGCGCCTGGAAAAAGGGAGAAGTCTTGGCACGTTCGAGTCTTCGATCAACAAGCTCAGCTACAAGCTCCTCTAGTGAGATTAGGCCCTAGTGCAAACAAGACGAGCTTGTCTTAAAGGTGTGCAGTTGCCCACTTTGCTCGCCCCCTTTTTTTCCAAACCTCACCAACAGGAAGCCGTCGTTTTGCCGAGTTTTGCCTGTTGCCGCAACTCGTGGACTTTGGAGTTGGAAGAAATTTGAAGGCGCACGCTGGAGCCGCTCAATAAAGAGACTTCCAGGTCTACGACGTCTATGAGGTCCATGGCTTTCAAACATCTTGACAGACCTCGTCCGTCAAAGACCAAAAAGGTCTGCCCTCTTTAACTCTGACGTCGTCGTCCCTGCTGGACTTGGATCTGAGATGTTCACGTGGTTTGATGCTTGTTTCCTTGAATGTCCTCTGCTGTCAATGGGGGACTGTGTGAGACTGTTTGAAGCTGCTTGAGACAACGAAGCTGCCAGCTTTCGTGCATCGGATCTTCTTCAAGCAAACGTGTCACCAACATGACCGAGGCTACGGCGGTCCATGGTCCGCTCCATCGTCCTGCACCACTTGCTTGCGAGAATCCGATGAGACAGCTGAGCACGTTCGATTGTCGAGTCATGCATAGCTTCTTGTTACTACCAGTAAGGCACTTGCTACTACTTGCGATGCACCTGTTACTAATAGCTTCTTGTTACTACCAG